GTTCTCCTGCCCGTTGCTCTCTTCAGATTAACGGAGAGGCAGTGGAGCAGATGGAGAAGTTCAAGTACCTTGGAACTATACTTAATAGTGATGGAAAATTGAAGGAAGAGATCGACCGACCGGCGAATTGGAGTATCCATTGGCGTTCTGCGTGAACTAGCCGGACCGACTGTGACTAAAGCAGAGCTCAGTCTGAAAATTAAGCTCTCAATATTCAAGTCGATCTTTGTCCCCATACTTTCCTATGGTCATGAATCGTGGACCATCACTGAAAAACTTCGAACCCGGGCACAAGCTGGTGAAATGGGCTTTCTTAGACGAGTCGCTGGCCTTACGCGTCTCGATATGGTCCGGAACAGTGACATCCGGAAGAGCCTTGGAATACAGCCTTTGCTTCTCCAGATTGGAAAGTTACAGCTGCGATGGCTTGGGCACGTGTTGCGAATGCCTTCAGAAAGGTGGGCTAAGCAACTGTTCCTTGCAAATCCGACCGGCAAAAGGCCCAGGGGACGGCCAAGATTAGCCCGGAGCAAACATATGGAAGGAGTCTGTTCCAGAGTGCATCTTTTGCCGAAGCTCAGACTCTGGCACATGATCGGAAACGATCGACCCGAAAGGAGAAGCGGCGATGGAAGATGAAGAAGATCTTTATGAAATAAAAAACGGCATAAAACATGGTTAATTTATGAACAACGCAAAAACTAGGGCCTTGGTTGTACTCGTACCAGGCGCTGCAGACAGCATAAAAAGTTTCGAAGTCAGTCGACTAACTTAGCTGCTTTGAAAAGGCAGGGAGTAAACGTTAGCAATGGTCAATCATCCGACTGACCAAATTTTTGTGTTGTACGGAAATACCGTGTTTGATGCTATTTTTCAGCATGATCACTAACGTACGAACGAAATAATGAAAATTCATGAAATGAAGAAAAGCAACGTCGTCTTTCGAACGCCTTGAATAATTACGACCCATAAAATGACACTGTAATATATTCTAACCCTCAACACTAACCCTCTTGAGCCAGCGATCACAATCACTACGATATCTGGCTTCAGGTCGGTTTACCAACCGAGTAAGTATGTAGAGTACCTAGCAATTATTAATTAAATTTACTGTGATATACAAACGAAATTCTATTGCTTGAATAGAATGGAAAAAAATCACATTGTTTTAAACAAAACAAGAAATGAAATCGACAATGAAAAACATCTTCCTATCAAGAAACGCAGAAATGTTCCTTAACGCAAAGAACAAACAAGAACAGTCCAATAAGCACAAACACAACAGTGACGCCATCATCACCAAAAGCAGAACAAGTTCACGTAGCGCTTGCAGTGTTTGGGATTACAGATTTTGGTATAACTCAGTTCTGAGAAGCACATAAGAATATTTTACTAAGGTCAATCTATGAGACGCCTAATTGACACCCTCCACTGGCACGTGATTTCGTACAATCGCTGAAGCACTCATCAACCGTGACGGGTGTTTTCATGTTCATACTTTACCATCTTTAATTTGCTCTCCAGATCTGCTTATACAGCGATATCGCCCGTATTTGAAGGCAGTTACATGTGGGTTTGGTCACACTGCTGAACGGTTTCAGGCTTTGATTCAAGTCCTGTTCCTTGTTACAGTAAGAAAGAAATAGGCATGCCAGGTTAACGAAATTAGGTCTTAGCGCTGGGGCAGCACTAAGACATAGAGCTCTGTGCTTCAAGCGAGGCCGCGCTTCATTTCTCCACGATTCATCTTTACACTTGACTAAATAGTTGATGAAGAACCAATTGAACATAAATAAAAATGATACGCAGGTCAAAATAGCTGTTGACAGAGCTACGAGAAATGGAAACGGATATCGGATGCATAAAAATATGAAAATAAAGTCGTCAACCATTCAGGAATATTGGTTTCCGCGACATTTGCATGATCCAGAATCATTTACTGTTCCAGTTATACATCGAGTCTTCGATGAGGCGCTGATGTCCGTTTCTGCGCCATGAGACAGGTGTGTCCTAGTGGTTGATTTTTCTAAAGTTATATTTGCAGTTTGGTGACCACAAGCAGAACGTGGTTTGTTACTTGTTTCCTGAGAAATGGGACTCGTTTCGTCTCAGAAGGAAGACATGCTAGTCAGCCGATCAGGGCTAGAACCCGGGGCTTCTTGATTCTAGGTGTGACGCACTAATGCTGAGCATTCTGGTCTCGGATAAACTCACTTTTCATGCTTTTGAGGCACATAAATGTAGGAAGAAAACGTAAGTGTGTCATGATAGTCACAGGCTCTCTTTGTAATGTGTTCAAACAATACGAAGCTCGTGGCTGATCGCACTATGACGGACGTCAACGTCGCAGCATAGATATCGTCAATAAAACCAGAGCTACCAGTCATGGAAGCGTACGAGAGACAATCATAGAAACGGTGTTCAAGTACTGCATTTTTGTTGTCATTCGCACCCAGAAGAATAGCTAAAAAGACGTGAACAAAAATGCGTACATGGAAAGCACATGCCACCGAAATTCCGCAAACAAACGACTAAACGGAAACAACACACAAGGAACGGAACCCACAAGCAAGGGGGGACGGTTAAGCACAAAAGTTGAACCGTGAAAGAGTGAATAATGAAAACAAACTTTACTCAGATTTCTGACTAAAACCCGTATCGTGACTGACAGAGACACTAGCACTTCCTGGCTTCGTAGCTGACTCGAAAGCGGAAACGTTCGCTGCGTCGCGCGGTGCCATCGCTGCAATTGCCGATGTAGCAGAAGAAGAAGAAGAAGAAGACGACGACGACGACGACGACGACGAAGGAGCGGAAGCAGAGGACGTCGAGTTACCGGAAGCGTTAGACTTTTGCTGGCCTACGGCGGACGGTTCCGAAGCAGAAGCCGGTGGCTTTTTCACAGTTGGTGCCACTTTGATCGCATCTGACGACGAATCCTGATCTGAAACGAAAATGGTCATTGGACGACCTGACCTGTAGAGAGGGCAATTAAAAAAGCAAGACTCTTTACCCGCAGCAGGATTATTGTCATCCTGAAAGCAAAACCACATAAAACCGAGCATCGCTACCCACAGCCTGGTGAAAATACCTCAAAACTTGGCAGCGGAGGAAAACAGGAAGGTTGAAAACTGAACGAATCAGCGGCTTTCTTCTCTGGAAACTTCGCACTGCAGTACCGTTTGTCCTTCGCTGCCTTGGAGCTCTAAACAATACGCAGGTAACAATAGAACTTGCGAGAAAAAAACAGACAACGCTGCCTGTTAACTTACCGAGCTCCAGTAGTCAGTGCTGGAGAAGCGATCACGAAACGGGTGCCTGCCGACTCCGCTACACATGGTTGACGATCCAGCAATCAAACGATTTGGTCTATT